TTTTATAAATGTATGACAATCATTGAATCACCTAAAGGGTTTTACAATTGAATGGTTTTCACCACAATAAAAGTATTAATCATATGTATTCTACATAGATAAAGTTCAGAAATTATTTCTTAGTAGTCCATTTCCCAGACTTGCCATGACGTCAGCTAAAATCAGGCCTAGTGAAGGCAACATCATGACTCTATACGTTCGACTGCATATCACATGAATAGATAAGGTGCATCTTAACATCAGCAACTAATATTGTTAGACTCAATGTAATCGTATAGATAACGAGTCGCTTCTGTGAATGGAATGTCCGTAAACAAGGAAGAAACATTAAGCGACTATATACACTTATCAATTACACTAATACCTTAGTTACAACGGCGGAAGCTAACAAAGATTTGACTTTTGTAGTTCAATGAGTATGTTTTAGAAAATCTTCAAAAACCTTAAGACCAATTTCAATATAATAAGCAGCTTAAGAGTGGATGTTTCATGAACACATCTTAAACTGATGCTACAATGAAATAGCCATTAAGGAATTGTCCTGGTGCGAACTTGACAGAAGCAGATGCCAATCACTAATTATTCGAACTTTTTATATACCCACGAATACGAGACCAAGGAAGAACGCAATAGCGTAATCGGATGGAGTAGTATATTTGCGAGGTTGTGCCAAGATACCGATGCGTTCCAACTAACTGGCTAGGGTGTCGAATACGAGCAATGCAACGTAACACGACAGCGTGCCAAATGGTAAGGATGCTTGACCGGGTGCCTTCAGCTGAGCGAGTCCGGTAAAACTATCAAGGTCAGCATCAATCTTGAACCTCGTTGAACCCTAGGCTATTGATTCTGGAGAAGTGTGTAACACTACGGGACAGATTCTTGAATGCGTAAATCCGGGCACATTTCTTTCAGTCAAAAGTGCAAGTCTGCTAGGTAACACCCCCCTGACGCTTTCCTCACCTCCGAAGACAGTATATTATTTTCAATAAAACTATCATCTAATATATATATATATATATATATATATATATATATATATATATGCATTCAATTCCACTGAAAGCATAGTTCTACGTGTCCACTAACCTACCACTATGTATCTACAAAAGATCTAAGAACAATGTACGAAAGATAATAAACAACTTTCCATCGTCATTAAAGAGGTTGAAGTATGATTCGCCTCTGAGCAGCAAAATATCAAGGTAACATGAAACATACAGAAAGTCCGTGATCAATAATGATAAAGTATTTATTCAGATTGTCAGAATCACAACCAATCACTTTAAAATTTGAAATGCACCTTCACTAAAAAGTGAAGGATAAATTTAAAGCTACTGTTTATACGACAGAATAATCCTCAATTTTCCAAGTGAATGCGTAACTCTGAAGAAATAAATGCACATAGGAAAAGGTTCAGAGAATATTGGGTTCCTGTGATGGGTATGAAACAAATTAGGATGAACAGATTTATAGAATAATGCTCCTCATCTATTGCAAATAGCCTTAAATTCTCGATGGTTATATAGCAAGATAATGTGACATACTTTAACTAAAGAAGATTCTCCTTAAGACCTTGTAAATTAATGGGACCAAAATGTTAAGCAAGAAAAAAAGGTAACAAACTTTAAACCAAACATATCACTAATTTATATACATTTAATCAGAAAATTCTAAGGTTTGAAAAAGAGACGAAGCGGTGCAGAGAAATAAACAAGTGATACCTACAAAATATTTAAACACACCATTGACGAACTGATGGCTACAAAACTGAAGTCAGTAATAATTGGATCAAAACAGTTACTAAGAGAATGAAAGATTTATCGTGGTTTTTTAACGTTTAGTTCCATACGAAAAAGCCTGAGCGCTATAGGACCCTGGCATTCTCTGAGCTTTTATTATTTTCTAGGTATAAAAGGTGTTAACCTTGTTTACCGAATCCAAAAAGTGTTTGCCAATTAGTGTCACAAACTCGTTTTCTTCAGACACAAGCTGCTCGAAAATGGTAAACAAACTACGTAGATGTCCACTCTCAATCATTCCAATGCTTTTGCCACTAAAAGCAGATATAATCTTATAAGTGAAACTGGAGGTGACCTGCTTGGGTTGTCTACTTTGGATTTGTTTAGTAAGTGTGTGATGCTGTAGACTAGTACAAACTTGTATAAGTAAGTTTTAACATAGTGTCAGCGTGTTTAGAAAATCGAAAAAACGATTTGTCTAAACGTGTAGTAGCCTCAACTTCTTCCCTCGAACATATCATTCAGTTGTTAGGCATTGTACACTTTTGAAATGTTTGTCTGCTTCAGGAATGCTTGAGAACATTCCACACACTGTCTGCAAGCACTATACACTTCGCGCTCCTTTTGACTTTCGTTTGCTGATCAAGGTGCGCTTGAAATACATCGTTCGCAAACATTCGCGTTTTGGTCTTTTCAATACGCGTCGTTATTAGTTGAATTACTGGCAACGGGCACAGGACTTATCGTATACACCAACCGGACGCATTCTGTCACATAGCGGATACATTAAAACCGATAGTTGCGCTGTGTATGCCACAGTGAAACGTTCAGAAACATCTTTTAGATTTTCTAAACACGCAGGGATTATATTAAAATTTACTTATACAATGATTAAACCTGACTCGGTACTCAGCTTCTTTCAGGACATTCATAACAACTATGGCCTGGATGTTTATAACCTTATGTAAACTTGATTGGAGTAAAATTCATTTCAGTGTTCTTGCGATTCTTGAATCAGTTATCGCTGATATTTAGTCTCCCACTGTAAATAAAACAAATAACAACTACCTTATTTTCAACACTTAAAAGTTTAGTTTTCTCCTTTCCATATTTTATAACGAAACCTTTTAGACCATCTGTTCTTCCCAAGACAAGTGTCAGTAATATTAAACTCTCCTAAAAGCTTGTACGCAAATGTCTACTTCAACTACAAAATGTTCTATCGAATCCACACCTTGCAAAGTAGGAGCGATTACATTCCCTCCGTCTCTTAAAATCTTCTGTTTGGATGGATGAATTAGCAGTACGTTTGGAGAAAAATAATGTAGTCTTTTTCTACTTTTTACGCTCCTAAAATTCTGGTTGCATAGATTTGCGATACGGGGATAGTCTTTTGTGGCTACAGTATGTCATTTTGATTTACTTCATAACTCCAGGTGGTTTTAAGAGGGATAATTGGCTAGCTGAAAGTGATGTAGTCATCCTTGTTATCTTTCATTTATTACTTCACTTCAGTAAATCAGGTCTATCGAGAAATCCCCCATGTTTTTCACTGGAACCATTAGTGGTCTTTGAGAGAAGTTGTTTGCAACTATGCAGATAAATGAACATTTAATAATTGAATCAATGAATGTAGATGCTTGATTTAACTAACAAAAAGCTATAGTGAACGGCGGTTAGGTGTGAGACAAACCGAGGAAAAGGAAACGTAAAGTTGGAGCAACACCGTTTAATCCTTGTCTTGAAGTATAAAAATACTGAAATACTACAGACAAACTTCAGACGCACAGGTGTATTCCGTTTTGAGACCTTCAAGGTTCAGAGTGCCGTTAGTAAACACCTATGAACCTGATATGGTTATAGTATAAAGAAGCGTTCCACTGTGGTGTACTTTGGCCTTGAAAATATTAATCAGTTGAGAAGTGTGTTATATTTCAGTCAAAGAGGATTATATCTAGTAAAGAACCGTGAGTAGAAATACACCCGTCATCATGCATCCAATGAGCAAAATGGAAGCGCTGCAAATTCGAGTGTATCAAAACTGGTAGTAACCAAACCAGGCCACAGCAAATAGCGAGGTAAATGAACAGGTTCAGTTCATAATTTGGTTGATGATAATACGTGGCAAAATGCATGCATATTTATGAGTTTTGACAGGACAACATTGTTGATCAGTCAGAATGCGTATGTGAGGATTCAAACTACAGCTTTTGCAGAAGGTTGAAATTCCTTGCATGAAATGACAGAATGGTTGATTTCGCACTAATTTCCGACAACTTCTGGCATACAATAAAGTTTCTCAACAAATGACAGCGAACTGTTTTCACAACACATGACTATGCTAGTCAACATCTACCAGAAAATTGATGATATAAAGTAGCAATTCATAGGACGTGATAGGGGATATATGGGGCAGCGACTAGTATTTTGTCACTAGAAATGGAAAATGAGAATTTTCCGAATAGTAAACACCAACTAAACAAACAGATCTAGGGAACTTCCATACAGTATTTCTTATTCTATGGAGTTATACCTTAAATTATAATACCCAGTAATGTTCTATAATAAATTCTTTTGCCGTTACACAAGAAATCAACTAAAGCATAACTCAGTCGACGAAAAACTCAATTGTTTTTAGGGGGTGGAATTTACAATGAAAGAATACAAAAATCAAGCTTCCACTAAGAAGTCAAATGCCCGCAGCTAGCTGCACGAGTTAAACGGAACAAGGGAAGAGTTAATTCTGGAGAGCCCATTAAGATCCAAAAATGATTAGTTCCTTGATCTATTTATTTAGACTGCTTTGTCGATGTTCGCTTTATTGCACAAAACTGATTGGTCTCTGAGTGTTGCTGTATGATTGTTGCGATGGTACCATGAGTTTCCTTTCTTCAGACGTAGGTGTTATTAAATGAACCTCTGCCATAATCACTAACTATATGGTAAGGATGAAAAGGCTGATAACTTTTAGCTAGTTACTGATAGCTAGGTTAGAGTTGCTGAAAAATAGTTTACAATAACTCCGGTTGGAAGCACGAATAGTAACTTTGTCCGTGTGAGAAATTACAACGACTTCTGTCCAATATCAGATGCTCTACTTAACCTGAACAGATTCGGCCCTCACTCGACGGAAGTTTATAAAGTAGATATATCCCTTAAAATCAGGTCACAACGGTTATGACTTTCCGATATACCCAGTACAAATCATAGCAAAAGCAATGAATTTATGTAACTAAACTTAGTACAAATTGCGAAGATGGTTGGATCAAAATTTTATTTCGATATTACATGCGAAAAAGAAAAAACCATTTGAAAATTAGTATTAGTTCTGCGTTTCCGATCTTCGAAGACATTTATGACATTACATTAGTGAAACTTTGTGTAAAAAAAGTTTTTAAAAAAACAGTCATAAATAACATGACTACTTAAAAGAAATACGGTAGGAAGTCATTAGAAATGAAAGGTGGGAAGGAAAGGACTAAACCAGAATATCACAACATAAAAAAGTAATCAACTGGAGTTAAGTGTTTATAAAGACTCTGTATCTTATTGTAATCTGGAACTTAACCAAACAGCATAATCTTCGATTACTTCATAATGTTCACAACGTGTAATAACATTTCTGGGTACAATTGTAATGTTATTTGCTGAGAGACCAATATTATTTGCACCAGCTAATGCAGTAGCCATACAGGCAATTGTATCTGTATCACCACCTAATCCGATGGAATACACTACACAACGAAGAACAACTGACTGGAATAAAAGATATATTGCTAGTTTACTGTATCATACGAAAAGTGATCAACGTTAAAAAGTAGATACGTTACCCAATATGCATAAAAAAGGGAAGAATCGAATGATTATTCAGTATGTGAAGACCTTTCGATAAAAGAGGTATGGTCTCTATGAATAAAAACATTGAAGATTTTCAAGTAAAAAACAACTTTTCATTTCGATAGTTGGAATAAAGTATTTCATAACAACCTGCAGTTATACCTTGTCACAATGTTCAAGTCTTATTCTTGAGTCACGTCGAATATTTTCAGACAGTGAAAACTATTATGATCATCGTTAACTATTCACTTCACACTTAACCGGTAAGAAGGTCACGTCCTCATTGTTAACCAGTTTCATCGTTAAAAGCAAATATAAATCTGAGCGATATAACTACGACTTTGAGTGGCAAACATTAGTTTTTTAGTGGACGCTAAGTGCGTTTAGCGTCTTAGTTGGATGCAGGTAGTCGACAGGAAGCCCTGAACCTAGGTTTCTTGCTTTCTGGCACTCTACAGAAAGACATATCTGGAACCCCTACGATTATCATCTCCTGTCTGACTTTCCAACCCTCGCCACCGAGTGCAGCAGTCAGTGACGTTACTACTGATCTATTCGAGTCAGGAATGACCCACTTGTAGGACTGGATCAGGCACACTAATTGGTCACCGAAGGGTAACCAACTTCATATTGTCTAGTCTAATGAAGTCCCTCAGGAGGATAATCGCAGCCCGAATAGCCCTGTGGTAACGTTCCTGACTGCAACACTGGTTGACGGGGGTTCGAAAACAAGGCGGGAAATGAGTTCCACAAAGGTTGCAGATACGCCTTACTGGTGAGTGCCAAAAACCACGAAACTGAAATTCACAGATTCTTGTCGAATACCTTCATCCAACTAACATCTATCAAGGTGCTTCGCGATGCTGAGCCACCCAGCCTGGTGGCCACATTAGAAAATGACCTATGGAACACGATCAGCACTTATGCCTTAAAATGCATAAAGTTGGTTACCAGTTAATGTGTTTAGCATCTTTAAGATGTGAATTTAAATAATCTATTTAAAATAAACTTAGAGCTGTATGTGCATTCACTCTGTAGATTAATGTAAACTAATTTTCTCAAGTTTCTGATGTTTATCCACTGTCACACGTAAATGATTGATGTTTCTGATTGGTTAAAAAACAATTTTTTAACGTAAATACTCAGTGCACAAGATCATAAAACTAGCATGGGTCTGAACAATGCAACAATAAAGACATTTGCAGAATAAAACGAGCTCATTTTATTTCATGGCCATTCATCAGCTGCAAACAACCTACAGTTGAAATATTAGTAGTAATAATAAAAGTGCAATCGCCAGGCATCTGATGGAAACAGGATATCAAATAGATGTTTCTCAATCCTTCAGGATAATCAGCAAACAAAGAACACCATGTTTATTACGGTTTGCGGAAGCTCTCGCTATCAAACATTTCTAACCTGACCTATGTACTCAGAAGGAGACAGTACTTAACTTTTATACTAGGTGATGATTGAAAGTGAGATGAAAATCCGGACCGCAGCCGGATTCAATCTGTGAACTTTTCTTTACCTTGGTAAATGTATATAGTTTTTGTATGCGTATGTATATAGTCTTCCCTTTTCTTTTGATTGCATCATCTCTTCATTAATTACTTACTGAATATTAACCACTTAATGATTTTCAAGTTCTTCATGTAAATACGTAACCTATTGGGTCTTAAACAATCCCATCCTTTACACTGATTTTCGTTTGTTGACCCCCCACTCCATAGCTCCAGAATTTTCTATCTCACTAGATATAAATAGCCATTGGTTTTGATTAAGATTTGTAACTATTAATCCTGTGTTTCCTTGACTTATTACCTTATGGTTAATCGGGGATTTCAAATCTCCATTTATTTTTGCATGTTTAAAGTATGTCATGTTATTATTACTACTAATATTTCATTTCAACTGTAGGTTGTTTGCAGCTGATGAAAGGCCATGAAATAAAATGAGCCCGTTTTATTCTGCAAATGTCTTTATTCTTGCACTGTTCAGATTTGTCAAGGGAACTAAATGCATGACACCGGTATGAGTGTTGACAGTAGCAACATTTTGTAAAGAAAGAAAACAATCTCTTACATCAAATTCGATCTCATGTACAGGCCTCAGGCAACGTAAAAAAACATATATTGCAGTTGGCACAGAGTTGATTGCCTCCAAATTGTTACCTTTAAGGGGAAAAAGAAACAAACAGGTGTTCCCTAAAAATGAGAACAAACCTTGAGGTAGGAAAAACCTAATACTGTTTATTCATTCAGTTGTTTGTAGGGTTTAACTAGTTTTCAAAAACAGCAGTTGACAAACTAAATGACATTTATTGATGACACACTTCTGAAGATCACGAAATTCGAATGGGAAGCAGAAATTTACTGAGATAAATAATCCGATGACGACATTAATAAGTAGTCATTCTATATCAAAGTATAAATAAAGTTAGAAAGCCCCAATAGATAAGTTTTGACTCAATAGTTTAACTGTAACGTACTCGCTGTAAGACCAAGATGTTCTGAGTTTGACTCTGAGAAATTCTGAATGTTTCCATGCTTTCTTAATTTAAAGCGGTTCTATAAATGATTTAGATCGGCAAGAAACACCTTCATACTCGATATTACTGAATAATATTGTTCGGGAAATATTTATATTTTATTATATGAGTGGTAGATATATTTGTAATATCTGAGTTAGTGAAAAACCTATGAATAAAGAAAACAGAGCTAAGTTGCATTACATAAACATGAATAGTCAATGAATTTCGTTCTTCTAATCGATGTCGTAATTTAATGTGACTGAGCAAGGATTTGCAGCTTAATGCACTAAAAAGTAAGCCATACCTACTGTGAGAGTAATTATTTCAGTTCCTGTCTATCAAAACCTAAGAAGGTAGAATGGGGTTTGAACTGATAACCCACTCGTCGAAAGCTAACTACCAACACCATAACTCCACAATTTATACGGTACTGTCACATCCTTTAAATATATATAAAATTTGTACGACTGACACAAAACAAGTTTGTTTCATGCATAACTGAATATGATTAATTGCTTGTCGCAAACAAATGGGGTAGGTAGGTTAATTTCAATGAAGAATGAATTTTCATTTTGAAAAACGGTTACAAACAAGATAAAATTAAACAAATTATAACATATAAGTAGGCTTAAATATAGATTCTAGGTTTTGCTTCCATGTCATGCAGAGTAGCTTTTTTTCATGGAAAATCTGGTATGTTCAGTTAGTAAGGTGTACATCAGAGGGTTTAGAAGTAAAAACTGATATCCCGGTAGCCAAAAGGAGAAACACTCGCATCTAGAATATCTTTTATAAAGTATAGCTATACATACACGACAGAAGTCAAATACTGCTGTTATTGAAAAAGTGTACTTACCTAAACGACCAACAACATCTTTAACTGAAGGATCTGTGTCAGCCAAAAGGAAACTCCTAACATAACCAAATCTCTCCTTGTAGGCATCAAGAGCTTTTTTCCATCTGGGATCTTTGAAGTTTACAAACAAATATGTCGTTCTTTCAAGTCTTCCCAAAAGATAATCAATAAGTAATAAAGGATCAAGTTTGATACGATCACAAGCCAAGAAGAAAAGCTTTCGTAGTGCAAACGCTTGTATAAGTGCACCGCATACAGCAAGTGGGTGACTATGTGTCAGTCGAGTTACGTCGACAATGAATTTCTGAAATGTGATGGCAAAAAGGTTAGGCATCAAGTACTGATACTTATTTATCTTCAAAACAGATATTATTTTGAACAAAACAATAACAGTGTCATAATATTTAGTTCGGCGATCTCATATCCATACAGTTTTCCTTTGGTTCGTAGTAATAACGATTTTAACATATTTAAAGTTACGTGGTTAACTCAATATTGTTTTGGAAGATAATATAAACTAGGGTTTTCAAGTAACAAAGAAAATCGAGTGACGTAATTAAATTGCATCCTTCCAAATTTGAGATTTATTGAAATGACGTAATTGGTTGTTACATTTTAGTACAAATAAATGAAATGCCGATGAAATTGAATGGTCTTGACTAAACGTAATCATTCTCATCACGTTCTCTTTATTGCTATGCTTAGCAACAGTCCCTTGAGGCAAACTTTCATAACTGTAGGTTTCTCTTTTCGGTAATGATATAACACTGTAAGCAGTTTGTTAAAATATACAGTGAATATTTGACGACCTGCTAGCTGTCTTTCACTTCTATGATTCCACCAGTGACAAAAAGACAGCCAGTATAACCTCCTTCATTAACTCGTGGGTATTTACCGTCGAATCGGCAACAGTATCTTTATTACGATTCCTTCTTTAAGTAAGCGAGTATTTGCAAAAACATTTATTTCAATGCTTGGCGTGTGCGAGTAGCGTTCACAAGTTTCATATGGCTATAGTGATGTTTAATTCTTCTGATATCCTGTTAATGCAAACCCATATTGCAGCTAAGTTATAAATTATCTTATTACTAGCAAGGTTAACTCGCTTCTTAGTCATAAGAGAATCCGTTCTCTTTTTAGTGTTTCTTTCTCGGAGTTGTGTGGTTCAATCGCGAAGCCTTCACTATTATTCTAGACATTATCAGCAAAAATTTCTGAAAGAGGTCAGCTATGAGAATTCCCCTCCAAGTAACTAAGTAGCTTGTCCTGGCTAACTCGTGTTATTGGTTCTCTCTGCCATTATGTCATTATTATCTGCACACGTATTTCAATTGGACAACCTTCTAACCTTAACTCTGAACTGGTTGATTCTCATGTTTGATATTAATTGATAGACTGGTTTATTATCGATATATCTGATCATTGACTGACATGAGTAACAAGCTTCCAAAAGTTCTCGAACATTGTTTGTCTTTCTTCTGTCCAAAATTCCCATATAATCCCAGTCAAATAAATGTCTACTATTGTTTAGATGCATTATTATGAAAAAATATACATTGTTATCTACAGAAAACCATCACGCATGGGACAGAACCTTCATTCTAAGAGTTTTGCTTAGATCCAGTATAAAACGAGTGTGGTTAGAACACTCTAAGATAGTTATAAATATAAGAGAAACTGAACTGCTCTACTGCATCCTAGTTAAAAGTCACCTGTTCGTTATTCAGATGAATGGCACAACGAGGACTAAAGGATAGTAAAACTCAATGTCGTCTCTTTGAAATCTCTCCTTCGCACCCACTCACTGACTGCAGTTGGAATGAAATGAAGAATGAGTTCTACAGAAAACTGTCTGACCTCCTACTAGAAGCCAAGCGTTAAGAAGTGGTTACTGCAGGTGGTTTCAGTCCACAGGTAGAAAATCAACTTCGTTGAACTTTCGGAATCCCAATTGAACGAACAGATAACGATGATCATCTATTACAAATGTGCTCAGATAACCATTTTTTAGGGTTAGTCCAAACGTCAGACGTTGTTTGACTTCGCGGTGAAATGAATCGAAATGCACTCACCAGCCTTGTGCACATTAGTGCAGTAGGCAATGAGCCACACTTAGTGTGCGAGGGCTAGTAGTACTACTTAGCAGCCCAAAACTCAATAAGTGGAGCGGGGCTCGAACCCACGGCTCATTGGTTGTAAGTCATCTCCTTAAGACAATGAACCACAGCTTCGTAGCTGTTGCCCCAACTCAACGGTGGATGTAGACAGATCATCTCGCTATTAATTATCGTCCGTGAGGTCCAGGGGAAGACTACCGCTCCCTTCGAAACGTGCTGGTATGGCGATCACTCGTTTGGGCATAAATGGACGTAGGAAGAAGACCACTACAAGCGCAGCTCGAGTACAAATATACTAAGTCTGGTTTCACCAATAAACTGGCTAGACAGTTATCGATAAACACCACCCACCCAGAAAAGCTCATAGTCTGCTGTAAACATAGCGTTGAATACCGTAGCCGATTATCAGAGAGTAGTTAAAAAAAGCTAGTGAACCTTTGAAGCTTCTGAATTATTGAGTGTGGGTGAACGCATTCCTACAGGCTTCGAGCACAATCAGGAGTAGAAACAACTCAAAGTGACGACAAGTTTGCACGACGACAGCGAACAGTGAAGAGCAGCGAAGGCTAAATAGATTGAAAAGGTAGTGGCGATGGGTAACGGTAAACAGTTATTTAGACTTATTAAGGAAGATGGGTCGAAAACCGCAATGGTTAGTGAGACTATAGAGTAGAAGGACGGGTTTGTGGTTCACTAGCAGGGTAAACGACTGGGACGACGGAGGGAACACTTTGGTTAACAGTTCAACTGGCCTCTAGCCACTACTTCATTTCCCGCTATCCAATCGGAGCCTGAATGGAACACTTGAAGAAGTCGAGAAAACTGTGAGTAACCTGGATAGAGGAAAAACAGCAGAGCTAGACGGACTAGTCTCGGGGATATTTCACGCGATATTTACTCGAGTTAACTCAAATGTTAATTAGTGCATCAGAGTCAGATATGATTCTTTCTGAATGGTCTCAATCATTGACTGTCCCAGTCTTTAACAAAGGCGAGAACTCCTCCTGTCAAAACCACAAGGGAACCAGTATGACGAACACAGTGTCTAGGATTCTAGTTTCTATGATCAGTACACGTTTGGGTGGGGTTCGGGAACAGCAAGCCCAAGGAAACCAGGCGGGCTTCAAACATAGCCTTGGGTGTATCCACTAGATATTCACTTTCCGCCAGGTTCTAAAACATTAGCACACTTACGGACATTTAACACCGACTGTATTACTTGACCTGAGAGCGGCATTAAACTCCGTCGATAGAGAGGTCTGATGGAAGTGTCTCTAACTGAAGAAATCACAAGGACATCACCCTGTTGAAGGCTCTGTACCTGGACTCCTGTGGGTATGTTGGGGCAAACGGTGAGTTATCATTAGAGTTGGGTTTGTCAAAGATGTCCACCCTCTCCATACTTACTCAACCTCATCACAGACGCTTTCATGGAGTTCTGTCTCGTCATATGACTTTTAAGGGGATCGATTTTACCACAAGAGAACCCTTGACAGACCTAGAGTAAGAAGATAACAGTCCTGTTGGGTGAAAATGTTGACAAAATGCAGTCGCCTTCAGTGGTAATTTGAAAACGTTCGGGTATATTTCTTGCCACCTAAATGCAAATTGTTGCTCCGAAATTGATCTTCAGTAGTGCTTTTTTGACAGTAGGCAGTGAAGTGTGGTTGAGTGCGTCGGTCACTTTACTTGTTTAGGAAATCGTATCAATCCTGGTGGGTCAGTGGCCAAAGAAACCTCGGCACGAATAAAAAAGGCTTGATTGTCTTTCGTCAACTCACTCCATTTGTGGTGCCGCCGTGATATCCGACTGTTCATTAAGGGTCGAGTGTACCGAGCTGCAGTTCGCTTTGTTCTACTGTGTCTGTGAGGAATGGTCATTAAAGGTAAAGGTCGTGAGAAAACTTCAGTTATTCGACCACCATCACTTTCGTAGCATATGTTAGGTCATAGTGTCACTACATCAGCAATGCAGAAGTCAGGTGTTGAGTTCTAGAGAGAGGAGGAAAATCACTTGATGAGGTTGTGATCTTTTATCGACAAAGGTGGCTGGGACATGTGTTACGCATGCCTAGTCACCGTCTACCGTGTCGGAAACTGTTAGCTGAAGTAGGTTCCCGCTGGAAAAAGGTCAGGGGCCGTCAAACTAAAACATAGTACCATTGCATGCAGTTTTTGACTGTTAATCCGAGATGTGCGGGGATTGGTATCTACACGACAATCAAAACCAGTGGTTGGAGACCCTGGGTGACATGGCTCAAAATCGAACTCAACAGCACAGATATACCCACATATTATCTCCATCTTAATCGTCATGCTGAGTTTCATTCCTCTATGCTATTTTCCCTTCTGACTGCTTCCCTCTTTATTTCCGTATCTTTCTTTTGGTTCACTTTCGCTTGATGTGAGGTGTGGTACTTAAGACCACTAAGCAGTAATCCCTAGTCCCACATTGATGGTGATGATGAAGGGAAACATTGACCTGAAGTTTCCTAACAGACAGCCAATACTGTCAGAAATGCTTTAGTTCACATAAAAACAGAATATGTCTTACCTTAATACAGGCTGTGCCAATTTTGATGACTAATACGTTGAGGATTTGTTTTACTGGAGAAATAACCATTTTCATATTATGAAAAGAAACTTAGACCGTTCACTTTTTGTCCAGATTTAGAAAATCTGTACACCCGCGACAATAGAAAACAAAATACAACGTATACGATTGGTGTTCTTCAGCAATGGATGCCCAGGGAGATTGGCGAGTATAAATCTGAATTTGAATCCTCTACAACTAAAATTTATCGACGCGAAGAAAAAGCTGTTTCTGTATTACAAGTTTAACACAAACATAAAATTAGATCCTAGGGCATCAACAGCAAAAATGTCGCAAAACATTCCACGTATTCGCTCCGCAAACTACGTGTACCAATCGTTTAATGATGAAGACATGTGTAAAACGCAAACTAATACTGATCACTCCTGTGAGAATAAATAAACCCACATGCTCTGACAGAACCAGGGATATAAAATACGACCTTATAAAAAGATGACTCAACACCAATGCAAACACCTAGATTAGATCAGTAAGTTTTGGTACAGATCAATTAATGATTTCATCTTAAAAGTGACTAAGAGTATTCAGTTTCGGATGTATGTACTGTAGTCTGTCGGATACAAGGTATTTTAAAAGGTATAAGCAAACGTCTAATTTGCACTGACAACGCTTTAGAAATATAGAAATCGGAGTCAGAATTGTCAAAAGGCTACCAAACAACCTACTTTTATTACTGGCTTTTAAGAAATCTAGTTATTGACTCTAAATTCATGTTAGTATCTAGATTCCCAGCTTGCACTAGCTTCTCAGTCCACTTTTAGGAACTCGCACTTCCTTCCACGCTAATTCTACCCATAACTTATCTACACTACTAAATATTACATTACCTTTTGCTAAACTTTAATCTTCATGTTACTTTCCTGAACAGAAACTACAAAGCGTTATAAATTTTTGAAGTCACACATTCTTCGCCAATGAATGAACGCAATAATTATAACCAGCAGTGACCAAATGGCTTTCGAACATGAAATCATCAACGGCGTAATCATGAAATGAAGTCTCTGTTTTACGACTCAACAAGAGTATTTAAACTGTTAAGAAGTAACTTATCCTTCAAAAACAAACTTTTTGGCACACAAAATATTTATATTTCATAAAATACAGTAAAAATAACGGGAGGATAACTCACTTCAAATTCGTGTTCAGAAAAGCGCACCGCGTAAAGTGCTGCGGGTGCGGCTCGCATGGCCCCACCATTGCCATAAGATCCTGTCCCACTAAATAATTCTGTAGCATATTTATAAGGGTCCTTGTAGTTAGCTTGCTGCAATGCAGAAAAAACATGTCCGACAGTCCTACCGTAGTATCGATGTGATCCATCTTCGAAATAGGCTGTAGCAAACCTGTAAATATCGAAATCACAGTAATTTCAAGTCTATGTGCAAAAGTATCTCACAAACAGCGTACCAGAAAACTAACTGTCAGATCTCAATCAAAAACAAAAGATGTTCCTATTGTTTGGTAAAGAAAGCTTTTTATCTGTGTTAAGATGAAACTGAGAGTAACAGGGTTAAGCATGTTCCCAGGAATACAAGTCAACGTTTGCCATTTCCTTCTATACTATTTTTATAGCAGGCAGTGAATTGGAGAGAAGTCAGTGACTGCCTGAAACATAATCTGATAACATTGAGTTAATATCCTTCGGATATTGTGCTATGAATAGCCCAAAATGTTTCTTCTACTGCTAATCTGTCCATTTCAGCTTGACCCAATAAAAATAAACTTGGTGTAACGTAACAGTAATAAATTTGGCTTATCCAATTTACCAAATGATCTTTACTTCATAAACACATAATTATTATGCTGTAGTTAAAACATAAACTCGGTACAATATGAGAATCAAGAAAAGTGAAGATAGAGTAATTGACACAGCTCAAACAACCTAAGTTTATCAGACATATAATCGTACTTCATATTTGGGACTATAAGCTTCCTGTGATATGATTAGTGGTGGTGGACGACACATACTACTTGGGATCCCTCCGGGAAAAAAGAGTCTGTCATAAACCTATTTTAAACAGCACATATTATACATATATATGTTGGGCATGTCAATAAAGAGCCCTGAACCTAAATCCCGTGCTTATTGGCACTTATAATAGGATGGATCTGCAACGTATGAAATACTTCAGCTCGTATTACTAAACCAAGTTCATATATGTATATAAGGGTTGTTCTCCGAAAATTTCTAGTTTTAGCCAGATCTATACCGTCTACCATACATGGGAATTAGTATTTTCTACTACCTGTTGTACTAAACCCACATTCCTAATGCCTACGTGTAAGCAATAAGTGCGCTAGGTTTACTTACTCAAAAGTGATGTAGTTTGAACAACTTACCTATCAATAACAGATGCATAGGTCATGATTTCAAGATTAGTGAATTACATCAAATGCACATTGTGCGCAGTTTCACAAAAACGTAAGAATTTGTAAACTATTTACTACTTGGTAGGCGCATACTTATGCAAGCGTAGAGGCTTCTTCCTTTAACACTGAGTCGTTAGGGCAATGAATTAAGTAATGGCAGGAATGAAGTGGAGGATTTTACAATGTATCATGCATAAACAACTTCGTAAGCAGTAATGATTAATACCGTTACAATGGTAGCGATTCATTTTCACATTCACAGGGACTAAGTTGTTTGACTAACTCGTACTCTGAACGATTGAACTAGAAGTTGAATAAAGAGTAAGGAAGTGAGGTATTAATAATTGGAAAAATGACTTATATTATAATTCTGATTACGCCCATTCTTCGAGGAGAGGTACTTGGTCTACTGTAAAGCGTGCTAAAGTAGAACTACTGTCACAACGATAGCTTACTTATCACAACACGCTAAAACATGCTGAATTTACAAAAGTAGCAGTAAGACTATGCTAACAGAAGCCCAGTTGGTCAACCTTAATCATAAATGAAGTAACTTCAAACAACTCATAATTGTCTAAAAAACTAGATTAAAAGTAAGCATTTTCTTTCACCTAATAATAACTTTGCTGGAGACATCTACCAAGTGCTGATATCAGTCTGATTTAAGTACTTAAACCAGTAACTTGGATTTTCATGAGTGATGATCGATCACTTAAATCACATCCGTTAAAAGTGGACACTGATTATTTCCAGCATTTACCTCTGTTACGGCAAGAGGAAACGGGTACTTCCAGGTTTAAAAAATGAGTTGGATTGAAATTTTTAATTTAGACAAAATCACTCCATTTAAACTCATATTCTCGTCGCAAAAAAAGCTTCCGAGTTAATCAGAGTTAGAAAACTCATTCATTGTCGTAGACGTTGCAATGTATTTATTTAATGTCAAGTAATTAAGGGAATGTTAAGTTGAGGAGCTGAGCACTCGGTATCTTGGCTATGTGGTGCCATTGCATAAAACTGAATTTCGGATATACTCTGCATTAAATTAGCGCAAGTATATAGAAGAAACCTCCGGTTCAAACGTCGTTAGTACGAAAACCAAACATTATAAAGTAAACAAAAATAAACTCTCTTTGGTCTGCTAATGAATATGCGACAACTGCAAAGCCAACCTGAATGCTAGAAAAATACGAATAATTATTTCTTTTAAAGACAAGTTCTCAAGATCACAGATCAAATATTCTTCTTTGCAAATCTACTTACCGATTTTCGGTTCTTGATTACTTTCATCTCCATTTCCTCCCAAAATTAACCCATTTTGGAATGGACACAAAATGAAATTTTAACCGGCTAACTGCTGATCAAACAATTTGCGGAACAGTTTTACAACTGGTAAAGGTCATGTAGCTGAATTTACGCTTTCAGGCTGAAGTATGGGAAATAACAAGCAGATGGTTGGGGACTATGTGGTGTGGCTTAGATGTATCCACACATTTTCTTTACGTAAGCTGAGATGCCATACACCTTTACTCGCTTCGTCACTTCCCGATAACCTATATTCATGTGAATGTGGAGCACGGCAATCTGGTTTCTTAAGCAGTAGTCATATCCTTTTTTCAAAGACATGCCTACCTTATGAAAGTATTTCTACCGTTTTCTGTTCTCACCTAAGACCATTATTTTTTGAACTCATTCATTTGAATCTAATGAGATGAAGCATTTTTGTTTCTCGTTTAAAATGTTACATGCACCTTATAAATGAATAACTACTGAATTTCAAGAGACAGTAATAGTAGGGCATACTCCGCCACAAGACGAGTGATAAATAAACCGCAACTGCAATGATGCTATGAATGACTAAAAAGGAATTTTCGGAAGAGAAACGAAGTAGAAACAATTTTCTTTTTCTTTATGTATTTTTTACTCTTCTGGTCTGATTTCATTCTGTCAGCCGTAACCAAGCGACAGGTTTTTAGAAGTACGTATGTGTACCAAGCGTACTACTGCTGTGCAGAATCCCGGCTAACTGGAAGAAGCTACTTTAAAACCCACGCTTCGTAATATGATGCACCCAGATGTGCTGTGATTGTAAAACTTAGAGCATATTATAGCAACTGTGATTAACCTAAAAGGAATGAAGGACCAATTATAGAGAGCGGCGGAAAATGATGAACGAGGGGAAAGTCAATAAAAACCCAGGATTAAACGACAGATGTTGCAAAAGCCTTTTTCCAGTGCAATTTTACCCCCATGGCCCGGAGGTTAACCCTGAGAAAGCGTCAACTGGGAATTCGCTCACTACATGCGCAAATATAAAATTATTAGGCGCACTGGGACTAGCACAACAGAAATGAGTATCATCACTATACCAAAAATAAGTTTACCAAATTTTAGCCTCTGTGATTTCTGTTGATAAGAAACTATGTAAATAGTGTTGACCCCCTGATTGAATTCAAAAAGTTACAAGACTTGACCGCAGGCCTCACAACTAACAAACCGAAATATCAAGTAAAAGGTTTATGAATCACAAAATTGCTCACAAACTACAATTAGGATGTTGTTCACCCATAGGTTTTCACGGCGGACAAAATGCAAGTGCTTCACTAAAGCAGTATTATTTCTCAGAAATGGTTAACAAACGCTCACGAATGCCTGATTACTTTGATACCTCATGACGAAAATGGAAACTTACTCTTTCGCCATGTGTTCGGGGTTAAAGCCATTTTGGGATCTAACCGAGCGAAGAATTCCAAGGCCCATTTGAGTGTCATCAGTGTACATTAACTGCTTGGTGTCAGCTGGTAATGGAAGTCGAATTCATACTCAGTATCTACCACCACAGATTGTCTTTCCCAACAATTCACTAGGCACAGCAAAATTCACTGTCGGTTTGTCTTCGTATAAAAATCCATAGCAATCTCCTATCAGACCCCCAATTAGGACACCACGACAAAACGACAATGAATCCATATCGGAGATCGCGTAACGTATACGTTTTTCCTACGCAACACCGGTTGGAGTACTGGTCAACAGCGTCCTTGAGTGACTCGTATGACCTTGAGCGTGCGCTTTATGGACTGAGTCCAGTACCTGTCACTAGACTTAATTATTACCTACCATTAATGAGACTATGTGCTAGCTTCCCTCACTCCGATTATACAGTGTGATAATAGCGTCGAAAATTAAAGCGCGCTACTTTTGAATCTCATCAACTACTTGTCTTTGCTTCAGTTATGTAGACACAAGTTTAAAACCTTTATCATTTGAGAATTGACATCTGGATTTCCCATTGACCGAGCTTTTCTTCGGCAGACCTGACAACGGAGTTCAGCCAACCAGGGAGGTGACGAAATTTAAGGACGTGGTAGATAATTCAGATTTTTAGGTATAACATAGAAGGCTGAAAACCCATTTTGTTTCCTTTCCAGTAGGTTACTGTGCTTCTCCAGTCCTTTTTGGAAGAACTTCTTAGAGCAGACTCTAGGAGTTGATTACTTAGCGCAAGAAACAGTATTCTACGGATACTAATTTCGTCCTTCACTTTTGTATTCTCCCACAATGTACTCCGATGTGCTCTGACCTTATGTGGACGGCTGTTTATGGAAATCCTTGCTTATCCAACCACGTAAAAGTCCGGTGTAAATGATATCAACTACCGATAAACTGTGTAAAAAATTACTGCATCCCAGTCAGCATATGCGCGGGGCAAAACATGGGATCGTGTTTCAGACCGCAATGAAACCACGGGGCAGAACTTGGTGAAAAAAGCAGGATCGTGCGAGATTTCCCTGAGTTTCGCCACTGACTTTCAGTTCCGCTGTTCTGCTCCACTTTTCCTCCAGATAATCAGCGCGTTTCCCCGCGAAATACCCCACGTTTCCCCAAGATTAGTACTGTCTCTGGAAAATGGCCCGCGTTTGACCGCGAAAATGTAGACTGGGATGATCGTGTCTTCCATCCACTTAGGTATCATCACATGTAGCAAACACTCAGAAATCACTTTTGATATCTTGGATGGAACTCCAAGTTAAAAAATTACTGAGCATGCGTGATCTTCTTTCCGAGAAACTCGTTTTTCCTCCGAACTTATCGAAAGCCAACTAGCTCTGAAAATCACAACAGCGTGTCCGGATTCCATTTCAGTCTGCTTTTTGGGATTACCACGCAACGAAATAGTATCATTTACTGTATGAAATTTCGGGCATAATTTGCTATCAGCATTCAAACCAGGTGTTCCTAAATTAGTGCGTCGGAAGCTTGCTTAGAATTACTCCACCCCCATGTGTGAAGCAGTATTTTGATGAATTTGTCGTGTTACATACCCACCCAAAACCAATAACACGGGGCTCAACAAGATTCAACATTGACGCTAACCTTCATATATTTATCAGACTCGCCAGGCTGGAGGCACACGGTCGGTACGCTGCCGCGTCATGCTAGACTGCTCGTATTCGACCCTCTAGCCAGCTAAGTCTGAACGCATCCGTATTTTGGCACGACCTCGCAGATGTGCAATTCCATCTGGCTTCGCTATTGTGTTCTTCTCTGGTCACGTGCTCGTGAATATGTATCTGCGAAGTTCTCACAGGGACAATTCCTAAGGTGGTACATTGATTCATTACGTGACTTTGCGAGTGTTCTAGTGCAGCTAACAACCATTAGTGGGCTAAGGAATAGCCTCCGGGTAAGTACGTCATCACATGTTGGTGTGTGGGGGAGCGTGAGTTCAGTTTTGAAGACCAGAATCTGGAATGGAGGAGAGAAGCGATAAACGTGGGCCGTCGACTCACGGTAAACTTACATTTATTAACGAGGAAAGAAATTCTGCATGTCAGAGCTTCGCGGAAAAGAGATGAAGTAGTCTAGAAATCAAAACTAGAAAGTGGATGTGTATGGTTTCTAATGCATTGCACTCTTGTCAAGAAATCGGAGTTTAGACTGGTTGTGAAAACGTCTTAACTCGCTTTTGTTTTAGGTTCCGCTCCTGATGTCTGCATTCCAAGTAGTTTCCACGTATCTCATCTTTATTCATTTGTGGGATGCACTAACCCTTGTTGCTAAATCTAAGAAGTTTCCTCAACGGTCACAAACTGGATGTTGTGAGATACATCTCTGTGAAGTCCTGCAGTTACCACATTGACAACGAGGAATTGTCAGTGCTCGTTTCCTTCAACTTTCAGACACTGGAAGTCGTCTCCAGCAGTAATGACAGTAGGTAGAATAACTTCTCCTGTGAACTTTTATATTGTTTTTGAATGTTTGGTAGGTTTCTACCGGCTTCTTTTACCCAGTATTGTTATCCTCGATGCGTTCATTCTGGAAAACTGGGTGACGAAGAAAATTCAGCAAGTCTTTTTCTCACACCAGAAAATTACACTGCTTCTATCTTCATTGTTAATGGGTGTCCTGAAGACAGTCCGGTCCGGTAGTACTATTCTGAACCCCAAAATATTTAGACATGGGAGTTTACGATGATTAGTCTGTTGGCAGCAGTGTCGGCCGTCCACTCATTACTGGTAGTAGTTTGCCTGATGTCTTGATCTTTTCGAAGGAAGCATAGACGCACAAAGTTTTTCAAAGAGATACCTCCTATCTTACATCCGGCTGCTGAGTTCTCATAGGAGTTAAGCATGCGCGACAGCATAAGTAAGGCATGTGTTACGTTTCCGTGTTCAGTTATAATAATAATAATATATTTCATACAACAAAGGTTGCATGGATACGAACCAGTTTGCAGGTTTGATCACTTTGGTAATGAGAGATGACTATTATGTACAATGTTATGCTATACATTAGATGCTGTGATTTATGGCATATAGGTGTGTTGAAGCAGGCTCAGTTCGAATTTGAAGATTATCCGGTCATCGTTTGAATCATCCAATATTCTTGAAGGTGAGGCCGCATCACAGTCATGACCTTGAGGTGTGCGCGTTCGTCATAACGTTTTGATGGCAATATTTCCCACTGACGAATGTGATTTGTAGGATTCCATTTGAATGCAGCACCGGTTAAGTAAATCTGAAAAGTGAATAACAAAAGCAAGCAGCAGGCGAAATTTGTAACAGGAGCACAAAAATATGCAGGAGTAGATCAACCATGATACATCTGGGTGAGTTTGTACTGACTGTTAAACTTACTTGAGGAAGTGTCCAGAACCAACTGTTTAGAGGTAAGCTTAGGTGGAAGAAGATGAAGGTGCGCACGACAGTACTGAAAGTCAGTCTGAAGAAGCTTGCTTCATCTAACTAGTATGTATCACTCCTACAGGCATTAAAGCGTCTTCTAATTTATTCTTTCATTTGTGTTGGGGTGTGTTTTGCCCGAGTTTTTACATCGGTTAGGCTAAGAAGCAGGCAACGTCTTCCTTATACGTCGGTAACTTTATGCTGGATATGTGGTAAGGTACTTTGGGCAGACTTTGCAAAGTGCTGCAGATTTTCCTGAATGAACAGTGTTTTCGAGAGGTTTATGAACCGCCTTAAACGCCTTTTAGTTCCTTATGCTAGCCTGAAGTTTCTTGCGGAAACTCCTACAGTGTCATACGTTTTTTGCAGATGCTCATCCGGAACTCCTGACTTCTTCGTAATTAGGTATATTGTGATCATCAAAGAAAACCACCATTTTGAAACCTGTGCTTGTAAACGGATAGTATCAAAAGCAAAATGCTTCACTTCAGCATCTATTCGAACACAATATTGACTTGATTCTTTGATTTCGGTAACACTGGGACCATCTGTATCAAGAAGTACACTCGGTACATCTCTTGACAGATTAATCGACGGTCTTCTCCATTCAAGTTAGAATTGTTTTGCTGGTGAGTAGCTTCAAAGCACTTTTCATCTCATCAAACGAACCACTGACTTATTTTTGGCGCTGTCGGACATGACACACGAGTGTCAGCATCCCTATTTAAGCGATGGACTAAGTTAGTCTTACAGCCAACTCACTGCTCCCGTAATCTTACACAACCCTTCAGGTTATTCGATTCACTGCTAAAAGGTCTGCATGTGGTGGTTGGTATCTGGCAGTGAAGCAAGACCGAAAATAGTTAATAGCTAGACCAGCAAACAACCTAGCCTGGTTAACTAGTTCACTAGTTACTAGCCGGTCACAAGCCCAGATTAAGAGGGAAGGTTGGGCATAGGGATAGCCACCCTAGGCATCAAAAACCAATCCAACCGCTAAACAGACTTCAAAGCACAAACAAAATACAAAGAATAAAGACAGTATTATTCCTCCATGGAATTGCAGAGGCGAAGGGACACCATTTAGTGAAAGCCTGCCTTCGGGAAGCCAGTTGGCCGATGTGTCTCTTCTCTCTCGATGAAAACGAAAGTAAACATGGGGAGATGGAATGTCCGCACGATGTCTGAACCTAGCAAGGCTGCCCAGATTGCAAACCAGATGGGAAAAAATCGCATTGAAGTGCTTGGAATTTGCGAAGGCAGATGGAATGAGAGTCGACTCTCCAAACTGTCAACTGGAGGGTCAATAATCTACTCCGATATTCTCGCTCAGACGACAACCACAAGCACACTAAGGGAGTGGCTACCATGATGTCCTCCACACCATCAAAGACTCTCTCTCGCGCAGTGGGAACCAATATCCTCCAGGATCATGACAGCAAGATTCAACTCAAAAGAAAGGAAGGTCACAGTCATACAATGCTACACAGTGCACTCAAATAATGCAGATGAAGAGAAGAAGGAGGAATTCTACAGACAACTGCAATCAACGCTGGACAAGACCTCAGTTGACGATGTCAAAATTCTAATGGGCGACATGAATGCCAAACTGGAAGCGGAAAACACAGGAAGAAAACAAACCATGGGCCGAGAAGCGCTAGGTGAAGTCAAGGGAAACGAAGAATTGTTTGCGGGATTCTGTGCATCCAACGATTTGGTGATTAGAGGCAGTGTGCCCAAGCACAAGGATATCCACAAAGCGACACGTATTTCACCAGATGGACAAACTAAAAACCAGATCGTTTTTATCTCAATCCCAAGAAATTGGAGACGCAGTCTACTTGACACAAGGTCAAGAAGAGGAGCAG